TTATTGGATCAAAACTGGTAATTTTTCAGTGTTTAGTTAATGAATGAAAATTTCCTCATCAGTAACGTATTAGGTTTAATTTATATTTTCATGTCTTCTGAAAAAAGAAAATAATCAGCTTTTAATTTATTCAAGTTTAATGTGGAAAACAAATTATTAGAGCACTTTAGGTTTGTATTTTAACTCAAATTTCTCATTATTATTCTCTTTCTTATGTGACAGAAACATTATCAGTAAGCGACATTAAAAATCAATAGATTACTAAAACACCTGCGTAAGAACATTTATGAGAAAGGATTGAATGAATGGGCTACTTAAAATAGATTTTGCACTGAAAGAACTAAAAACTAAACAAAATTACGCTTTCAGTGTCACTGATCTATGAAATTCATTAAGGATCCCTGTAGGATTATAAGCATTTAATAAGTTATTTAAACGCCGTTTTAATGCTGGAATTTAAAAAATAAAATATTAAAAATACTAACCAAACTGTTGGACTGAGGAGAAGGTTACACCTAATAAAGTATGCTTATTAATGAACTTCCTTCATATTTATACCTTCCACGGGGTGGTAACTCTCATTTTGTTATTTAGAAACCAGAAATGTATTTCACAGTTGATTGTCAACAGGTATTTCTTATTTAACAACAGAGTGATAATTTCAATAAAAATAAAAAAAAATCTGAAATTTTTCAGATTTTAAATTACGTCCAAAGGGGCGTTTTTTTAACGTTTTGAGTGTTACCTTTATTTATTAAATATCATGTTTCTTTGCACTTAAACCATAAAATTCAGTTCAAGAGCAATATCGCAAAATAATGTTAAATTAAGCATATCTTTAGAATTTCCGATATACACAGTCTCGCGAGCTGGAGATAAAAGTATTTTTTTTTCTATATAACGTTGCCATTTCTCGCTTTTAAAGCATTGAGTTTGTAAATCAAAAATTCGTTAAAGTTTTACAAAATATAAAATCTATAATAAAACAAATTCCAAATTTGGGATTTCAGATGCCCATATTCGCAGTAGGATTTCGTCATTCAAAATTCGATGGCTCTATGTACCATTGTTTTATCACAATGCGAGAAATAGACAATCATTTATGCAGATTTCTCATTATTTAATTTCTTCAAATATAATGCAGGACTCTAACATTTTGTGGCAACAGTTTGAAAAGTGAACCGACGTTTATGAGTCCGACGCAAAATGCCAAAACGAAAGCAATAGTCCTTCGGGACTGAAATCCCTTTGGACTAAAAATCACGTATATTTTAAACCTTGAAAAGGAGTTCAGCAATTATAGGTCTATTTGAAAAGCAACAGATGAACATTTTACTGAACCGTTAACATTAGCTAAAAATTAGAGCTTCTTGAACTTATCAAAGAAGTGTTAGGGTGAATACATCTTTGTATTTCTGATGTATGATTTAAATAAAATGCCTTGAGAATTTTTTTAAGTCTAAATATTAACTGCAGTAAACGTTAGCTACAGAAATAAATTAGAAAATTTATGGGTAATTATTATGGCAGCAGTTTTACCTTGTAAAATAAAGCCAAATTAATGGACGGTGGCAAGGTAATTAGCAAAATTTTTCCGTCTGGAATTTATATCAACAATCATATTTACATTAAAGTTTATATTTTAAAATGAAATTGTGGAACTGGTGGCGCGTAACTTATTAAAGTTTATATTTTAAAATTACTTATTAAAGTTTATATTTTAAAATTACTTATTAAAGTTTATATTTTAAAATGAAACTGTGGAAGTGGTGGCGCGTAACTTATTAAAGTTTATATTTTAAAATTACTTATTAAAGTTTATATTTTAAAATGAAATTGTGGAAGTGGTGGCACTACCTCGAATTTATATCAAACATTATATTTTTAATTAAAACTTACGTTTAAAAAAAACAGTGAAATCTGGAAAAGATAGTGCTTAAAATTTGTCACATGCAATTAGTACTAACAATAATATTTTGAATCGAAGTTTCAGTTTAAAATCGAATAAAATTCTGGAAACGGTAAACTAAGATTATAAACTTAGATCAAAATTGCCATTTATTTGAACAGTATTTTTATTTTTTATGTATCATACAATATATACTGAGATTTTTTACTAATAGTATATTTTTTAAAATGTATCATTTGGGATCAAAAACGGATTGATAGCCAACCGAGCCGAATTTATATAACTTAAACTTTGCCTCGTGTTTCAGAAGTTCGACAAAACTTTAGGCAATTCGTAGTCCTAAGTAGACCTCTTATTCCGCTAAACATTAATTATATTGTAAAATCTTGTTAATTTTGGAAAGAGTCGGTATTAGGAGTCAGTTGTCGGTATTAGGATGTAATTATTTATTTAAGCAACTGTTTTTTTAAGTCTTTTATATAATCTGTCTACATGTATGAGGTAGAAATTTCACAGAAATGCTTTCAAAATTCTTTAAATAAAATCTGCAAGTTGGTTATTGATTAGTTTGTAATTCTTCAAATAAGAATCTTATGCTCAATCTTTTGATGTACCATACTGCATTTCACTCTTTGTAAATATTAACATCAGTCACTGTTGTTTTGAAATGTCTGCTTCTGAAGCCATTGGTCACAAATTCTCACATATATGTAAATTTCTTATATCACTCAAACTTAGTCCACTCTTTTCCTCTTGGCATTCTCGAAATATATAGCTTTTTTAATTTTTTAGTCTTCTAATATTTCAGTGTGGTTTTAACTTATCGGTGATGTAAAATTTAATGTTAATATACTGGCCTAAAATTCTATAACCCATTCCTAGGCCAAAATGCATATTTATTTTCTCTCCGATAAGTAACTGGTCCTTCCAATGACGTTTATACATGTATTAACTCCTTCATGTTCGAATACAATATTCACATGACTTCCATACGAGTATTTATTACTGACACTAGGCGGCCATTCCTCGAATTTAGTTGTCGCATAGTGTACACATCACACTTTTAGGTACTTTAGGTTAGGAAATAATTTTTTTTTACTTTGGAATGAAGGAAGAAGTGACAATTTATTATAATGTAATTTTTGAATTTAGGCTGTGCATATAAGACTGTTGAGATTTTGAGAAGAGCATTTCAAATGAGTAAATATCTCTTTATATTTTGCCACATACGATACTTTCCTTTAATATTAGATTTATCGAAATAAAATTTTATAACTAAATAAATAAAATGTGTTACCTTGCACTAATACACAGTTGGCTTATTGAAAAAAGGTCAAAAGAATTATCCAAATTCTTCCAGTATCCTATGATGCCGTGACCCCACTGAATCACCATATTTGTAATGCGTGATATTCTACCTGTATTTGTTTATTTGTAAGTTAAGGTATTTATAATTCTAATTATTTACATGCAGGATTATCCGAATCTCCTAAAATTGATGATATGTAATATAACAGGCAAACGCAATGTCTCATCGACATACTACAGATTTTCTAATTCATAAACGTTTTCTTACAAATTTTCAACAACTCTGAAAACATTGGAAATATTTAGAAATTTTTATGCATTCGATTTAAATGTGATTGAAAAAATTCTTTTCTCTATTGATTAGCAAGAAGACACCTAATAAAGTACGTTGCAGTCACGGTGCTACCGGGATGGCTGTCGATTACTGCAGGGCGGGGGGGGGGGCAACGGCTTTAAAAATGCTTTTTAAGAATTCAAAACGTTCAAATACATTAGAAGACTTTTTTTTTTTTTTGATTTTGTTAACAATTTATTTTTACTTTAATTTGCAGAAAAGTAATCACGTTAAAATGTAGCTACAACTATGCACTTATTCACCCTTAAAACTATAGTAGTTTTTAATTCTTTAATAAATAATAATATACTGCAAAAATAAAAACGAACCTGTATTTTTTTTTCTATTTTTTTTTCTTTCCCAAATAACATTAAATCCACTAATATATAAAAAAAATTTGAAATGTTTCAGATTTTAAATTACGTCCAAAGGGGCGTTTTTTAACATTTTATGTGTTACCTTTCTTTATTAAATATCATGTTCTTCGCACTTAAACCATAAGATCCAGTGCAACAGCAATATCACAAAATAGTTTTAAAACGAGCATATCTTTAGAATTTCCGATACAGAGACTCACGCGCTGGAGATATAATTTTTTTTTCTGTACAACGTTGCCATTGCTCGCTTTTAAATAGTTGAGTTTGTTACTCAAAAATTCGTTAAAGTTTTACAAAATATGAAATCGATAATAAAACAAATTCCAAATTTCAAATTTGGGATTCCAAATGCCCATATTCGTAGTAGGATTACGTCATTCAAAATTCGATTGTTCTATGTACCGTTGTTTTATCACAATACGAGAAATATACATACATTTATGCAGATTTTTCATTATTTAATTTCTTCAAATATAATGCAAGACTCTAACATTTTGTGGCACAGTTTGAAAAGTGAACCGACATTTATGAGTCCGACGCAAAATGCCAAAACGAAAGCAATAGTCCTTCGGGACTCGAGTCCCTTTGGACTAAAAATAGCTGAAAAATATTGTACTGTAAGAGTGTTGAAATTGTGTACTGTCTTCTTTGTATATAGTCTTTAATAGCACCTTCCTATGAATAACAACGTACTACACAAAGATAATTTAATTTGGACTTGAGCGCTCTGTATTACAGTTAAGTAATGGAGCCAAAATATTAAGTCAATAAAAATATATTATTTTTCACAGAAGGTTCCAAAGAAAGCTTTCCATCTCAACTGCTCACCTAAAAGCTAAAAATAAATTTTTATTACTGTCCTTCAGTTCGATTAAATGATCATATCTAATTGTAAGGTGCACCGTTTACACCTTGTTAAAATGCGCGTTTAGTGATTGTTTATATCACTAATAATATCTAATTTGCGAATGAATGCTTTTTCTAACAGGTACTGAACGTCTTTCAAGGTTTGGAGCATACCCGCTTTTCGACTAATTGTCACTTCATCCAGTCAAACAACAAACGTAAGATGCAGGTCAACTGACAAATATATTTCTAGTTTCTGAAAAACAAAATGATCTTTATCGCTTCGTAATGGGTATATATAGGGACCTCCGTTAATGTTCAGACATAATTCGACAAACTGTGAATTCTCATCAGTAATTAGGTAAGTATTAAGTTTAATAACTTTACTGCTAAGATTTTATGTATCTATGTAATTTATAATAATACGAACACCTCTTTGCTTACATATCTGCGACTTTTGGGATTGAACAACAGTAAGTTTAGAAACGTAATTAATAAATATTCAACTATATGTTATACAACTGTATGTACTTTCATTCATATGTTGCATAAAACAGTTTTAAATTTAAAATTTCTTGTACTGATAAAGGACGAAGAAAATGATAAATAGATTGACAAAGGACCTACTTTTAAATAATCGGTTCGTTTTAAGTCTGGCTTTTTTAGGACATCACTGTGTTAAGAAGGAGTTGAAAAATCATAAAGCATTTAAGCTTCTCGGTTTTCCGTAAATACTCTTTAAAGATGACGGTAAAAGACATTTCACTCTATTACAAGAGACGTCTGCATTAAGCAAAACCCTTTTAAGTCCCAATATAAATATTTATTAGCCCAAATATAAGACATTTCTATAGTGTTTTTTATTAAAATGCCCATCTGTAATCATATTCGACTTACATGAGAAAAATGAAATTTTAAAACCACTTGTATGCTTTTAGGTAAATCACTATTTATTCCTTAATGGTTATGTTTAAAGAAAATATACTTTCATAGTTTTATTTCAAAGTGTAAGATTAAAGAGTTAAAAACTTTAACATATCAAGCTATTACATATGCAGCCGTTTTATATCCAAGACATTTTTTTCCTTTCAGAATGCTCTCAAAAATACAGGATAATCATACACATAAAGCAATCTAACATTTGCCCCGATACAGTAAGAAGCAAATTGAGTGTAAAATCTTATCACTAACTATATAACATCAGCTGAGTATAAGATACCTGATGACTGCGAAATTAAAAGTAACAAATAGGCGTAATATTGTAACTTCTCTACAGATCACTAGAACTAGACGTATATACGTTATAGTTAAAATAATAATCACTAAAATTTAACAGGTCATAAAGTTTCTTTTCTTTCTTGAACATTATGGCTCATACATTTGTATTTTAATATGGATACTTATTTTGAAAATGACTGCAACTAAAATGTTAAGAAAATACAATAATCTTTAATTATCTATTTCTTTCCTCATTCTGAATTTAGTTCAAATTTTAAACTTTAGCATTCCAAAACCTGATGCGAAATGGAGAAATAAATTGGCGTAATTCTTCTAAAAGCACTCTAAGAGAGTAAAATTTCACTAAAACGTTAACGAGAAAACACAATTTCACACACTCCCCAAATTTTAGAAATTATAAAAGTGCAAATTATCTTTCGCAAACCTATTTCTCGTTATCGTTGGTGTGATCCGATTTTATTTTATAAATAGCATAGTGATATGTCTCTATTAACCATGTAGATTAATTATAAATAATCGTTTTGTTTGTCATATATATTAGAGCTTAAACAAGCTCCAAGCATAGGTGTCATAGAATTCCACCTCGAAAGCCTACTTTCCAAGAGCGCTAGCTGAGTTATTCTTAAAAGAGATAACTAAATAGAAATGGATTTTACTTTGAATTAATAATAGTTACCAATGTATAACTTACAGGTACATTGCTATTGTGTATCTATATCGCTCTTGTAAATCTATAGTGAATTTTTTTAATATTCGTGAAATTGTAAATTTTTATATTCGTTATTTTGTTTTTACAGATCACAGCTCTATTACCTTCGGGAAACATGAAGTACTCCGCAGTCCTGCTTTTTGCTCTTGTCGCTGTCGCCTCCGCTCAGTATCATGGCATGGCGCAATCTGGTGCCATGGGCATGGGAGGTATGGGACGCATGGGAGGTATGAGTCAAATGAGAGGCATGAGCCAAATGGGTGGCATGAATCAAATGAGAGGCATGAGCCAAATGGGAGGCATGGGTCAAATGGGAGGACATCACCGCATGGGACGTAGCCTCGTAATGACATCTGGACGTATGGGAGCCGGATATATGGGAGCTGGACAAATGGGAGCTGGACATATGGGAGCTGGACAAATGGGAGCTGGATATATGGGAGCTGGACAAATGGGAGCTGGATATATGGGAGCTGGACAAATGGGAGCTGGATATATCGGAGCTGGACAAATCGGAGGACATCATCGTATGGGACGTAGTCTAGCAATCCCTTCTGGACATATGACTGCCGGATATATGGGAGCTGGACGTATGGTAGCTGGACAAATGGGCGGAATGGGTAAGTTTTCTTCATAAATAAACTACATTTCACCTGTCTATGTTTGAAAGAATTTTGATTTGTAATATACTGCATAATAACCTGTCGGGAAGGGTCTTAATACAGAGTAATGCACAGTTAAATGCAAAAGTTTTATTCACAGTTGTAATAACTGAATTAAATGCCTTTTTAATAAATAATGCATATGAGGAAAGCTGAATTAAGTCTTACAAAACTTTGGGATGCTGAACTATCGAAATTAAGAGGAAATCCTTGTGACTTGTGGCACACAGAAAGATGGGCAAAATTCTGTATATGATGTTAGTAGCAATCTGACATGAAATATCATTACTTGACCATATCTGCAGTTTTAAGCATTTTGATTACTGTGAAATCGGCGTTTCTTCAGATTTTTCAACCTTTTAATGTTAAAGATAATGAAAATGTAAAAAAGAAAGGGTTTCGAGAAAAATAAATAGTAAGAAGACATTGACGCACAATGACAGTAGATTTAAAGGTAATCTAATTTCGCAGCTTTTATAAAAATAATTTACAAACTTTCCCTCTTTTAGGCATGGGAGGTGCTGGAGCTATGGGCTATGCTGGACATATGGGACATCGTATTGCCCGAAGTGCTGTTATGACAACTATGGCTGGTCATGGTATGGCTATGGGCGGCAGTGGTATGGCTATGGGAAGCATGGCAATGGCACCCAACATGATGAACACTCGAGGACTTATGTCACATGGAGGCATGGCTGGAATGATGCATGGTTAAATGTAAGTAAATGATTTAGACATTAAATTCGTTTACATATCATCTCAGACTAACTTCAGTTTTTCAAAATGGATATGATTCGCTTTCTCACTTTTATACGTGTTAATTTACAGTATTTCAAAATTAATATAAATGTATCGTTTCAAAAATATATTATATATATAATTTTAAGTCAGAATAAAATTTTTTTCAGAATATATTGCATTCGAATGTATGTTATAAATGTTATGGATCATCATTCACACACAGTGGATACTCGTTAATTCCATTCCATGGCAATTAGCAAAACTCATAAAATTGCTGGAAGTATCACGGAAATTATTTCTGAATAACTGATATTTTCAGGAATTCAGCATTCGTTCGAATGAAACATGAAATTTGTTATTATCCTATATCGAATTAAAGAGAAAGTACTATATCTTCCTACCCCATTTCTTGTTTAAAACTTTTACTTTGTAAAGTAAATTTAAAACAAACTAGATGTTGAAAACTAAAATGGCTGCTATGCAAGTAAGATGGAATCTTCAAAAATTATAGCAGAGAATATTATTAAAAAGCCACTTGAACAATATAACGTACATTAGTTCTAGAATTAAATATTGAGATGATTTGCATATTGCTTTGAGACTGATCGAATGAAGAACGAAGAATGATACTGAGGACCCTTCCATGGATTTTCACTGAGAATGTTCGGGAATATAGAATCCAGTTTTGCACTAGTCTGCTAAAAGGACTTCCGAACAGACATACATTCATTCATTCCACAGAGATACTGCAGTTGCAAAATTTCAATTTTTTTTTTTTTTTTTTTTTTTGTCTATCCACTAAAAGTGGGGTGTTTAAAATCATGAAACAGGCGTAGTTCTTCTCGGTCTGAGTCTAGTCTTCTCGGTCTTCTAGTAATTCAAAGATTTCAGTTTATGGTGTTTTTGTAAATTAGCTTATGCATTATATAATCAAATATTCTAAAAAGTCATCTCACTCCTTAGAGGATTGTTGCGCATAAATCCTTAAATAAATAAAACCATCCTCCCATAATTACGCAAGAGAGACACAATTTAGATCCCAATAGTGACCAAGTGGATAAAACCTTTGAATACTGATTGCTCGACTCGGGTTCAAACCCCAACAAACGGGAGGTTTATAGTCGTATTTGTAATTTTAATCATAAGTAACATGATACGAGCCAGGTTTCCTTAGAAAGGTCCTTTACAAAGACATTTCTTCCCCCTCTTAGGGAATTAGAGACGTTTTTCTACAGATAAACAAACCAATGACAGCCCAACTAAAGCTACAGCAGACAGCTTTCATTGACACTTATGCAGTTCGACCTTCAACATCTCTAATACAAAAATAAAAGTGACAGTACTTAAAATTGAACTTTTCTGTTAGGATGTAATGATTATTCTAATTTTAATATGAAATAAAATAAATAAACTGTGTTGCATATTGAAACCATTTAAATTCAGTGATATTATTTTATGAATCATGAATATTCCTGTTTAAGAAACTCTACTTTTTTTCCCCTAGGTTTCAAGGCTCCAAATTCTTGAATCTTAGTGCAAAATCGAAAGTTTCAGAATATTATTATTATTATTATTATTATTTATGTATAATTGTGTTATATATTTAAATAAAAAATATCAAGTATATTAATGTTTTAAATAAAATTTTATTTATTTCCCATTTAATCGTCAATTTAATTTCTGAAATGACATTTCATATAGGAAAATCACGTAAAATTTAGAAACAAGCTAAGCCAAGGTAAATTTCTGGTTCTCAAAACCTCTTCTCTTCTGTTCTCTAAACGTTATTGAACTTTCCTCAGTAATTAAATATCAACTACTTAGTTTATCACATTAAAAATACTGCAAGACCAAATATAACTTGGAAAAAGTGTGAACAGGAAAAACGCACTTTATTTATCAAAATAATTAAACGAAACAAAAAGAGATTTTCATGTGAATAAATTTATCCGAAATATTAATTGAAATTTTTTAGATACGTAAAAAAATTGTTAAAAGAAGCTACAAATGTTAAATTATTAAATGCAAACTTCTGAAAGATAATTTTAACATTAAAAGAACTACTGAGCTTAGGCTTAAAATTACCATTTTAGAAATATTAAAAAATAATGTTTTGCAATTAATTATGTTGAATTGCATAATATACTTTTTCATCACTTAAATCCTATTATTTTTGGGCAATTTTTTTCCATTAGTTTTTTTTTATTACGGACCTCTCAAGAATCTTTAATAGAACAAAGAGTCACATAATGATTAAAGCTTTCCTCTTAGAGAACAAGTATAAAAATTTATGTTTAGAGAATTTTTACTAAAAAGTACCACGTGATTAGGCTCTCACAACACGAAAGAATAATTGTTCTGATACTGTGTTCCCACTTCTACAACAAACGATTCGAAAGTTGTTTAAAGATGCAGTATCCTTTAAATACTCTGATTATAAATGTAATACTTTTGTTTACATTACTAAATATAGATAAAATCCGAATGAAGTTAAATAATGGTATCACTAGAATACATATAGATTCATCACTTATTAATTAATTTCAAGTTCAAGAAATAATTTAAAAAAACTAAGTGAAAAGGATTTTATTTAAAAAATAGTTTTGCGTAAATTATAAAAATGATTGTATTTTATATTAAGGTTAGCAAAAATACCCACCAATGGTATAACCATTTGACTTATATTTAGCATGCGTTCTAGGAAAGACTCACGCTTAGACTGTTATATTTTAGGCCAAAATGCTCTTAGATTCAGTAAAATAATGAAAACTGTTGGAACAGGAATAAAAATTGAATTGTCTTGCACTCAATGGACCGACGCATGCCTTTTACAAATATTTCTGCCGTTAGATGGTGCTACTACCATCTCTTTCAGTGATATTAAAAAAGATCAACCCATTTTTTGCTTGTCTTTTTTCTTTTTTCTTTTCTTATTTTTCCCTCGTCATTTCTATCTGGTTTTCTGATTTTTTTTAACAAGTGAATTTGCTGAATGCATTGGAAGTGATCAAATTAAATAACTGCAAAGAGTTTGTTAGATACTAAATTATTGGTTTAGATGCCTTCAACTCATTCGTGTACCCAGAAAAATGGGTAGTCCGCCCAGGGCAGCATATATATAGAGAAGATAAATTACAATTTTAGCCAGAGCGCACCGGAGCCCTAAATAAGATGAGCTCCGGTACTTCTTTTTATAAAGCTGAACCACAATTTAAAGGGAAAAAAATAGAATTCCTAACGTTTTAGTTTAACAATAAGCGGACTTTGTAATACTCTATTTCCCTAGAAATACCAACTCATGAGAACATGAGACATTCAAGTCCCCTCACTCACATGCGGAAACCTTTTCCTTTAAGAAGGGCAATAAATTTCCTAAACAAATTCCCCCGCGGAATTTGTTTAGGAACGCGTAAATTTCTCGCCATGCCATCGTATCTAGTGTATTGTTATTGAAGCTTATATTTAGTTAACCTTGCAGAAAAGAAAATTTGTTGTGGTGTAGTGGCCGAAACCGCTATGCAAACTCTGGGTTGTGACATCAGGTTGAAAACAAAACACAGCATAAAAAAAAAATTTATTGAATGCTAAAAATGGCTACATACCATTCGACAAGAGAGAAACTTACTATTTTTAAAAATCAAATTCTATACATTTTACGTGCGAGAGCAATTCGTGGCTCTCGAGCTTGCGTTTTTAACATTGCCAACGATTTAATTATTTTAATAAAGACTATTTTAATAACTATTGAAAATGTATTTGTAAGTTAAAAAAATAATAATTTTCAGATTATGCTCACGAGACATCCTTGTCCATATAAATTTTCAGTCTCTTTTCTTCTTTTATGTAACCTTATCACATCTCCTCCCCTCATAAAGAAATGTTTCTTGACTATGAAAGGAAAAATTCTAAATTCATTTCACTGCTTTCAAAACACAAGTGGTAACCATTAAAGTGATTAATAGAGAAGCCAGTTACATTACCCTGCACTTATTTCTAGATAACATAACCGCATAAATACAACAAAAATAATTTAAACTACTCCTAATGTCTGCCTTATACAAAGCATATTCCTCAAATTTTACACAATGCTAATACTTAAGATAAAACATTTAATTCTAACATTTTTTTTGAAAATGAAACACACAATGCAAACAATTTTGAATATACACAAATATAATTCCAAATCTGTACAAAAAATCATGTTCACCCAATTTTCATTACTTTTTACCTTACTTTATATCCACTAGTGATATTCAGTCATTAGACTAGTGATATTCAGCCATCTGCATTACCGTGTAATTTGCCTGTCCTATGAACAATTTCAAAGTTGTACTGTTGGAGACACAATGCCCAGCGAGTCAAACGAGAATTTGATTCCATCATTTTGTTTAAAAAAGTCAACGGATTATGATCCGTCTGGATCTTGAATTTTTGTCTGTCTAAGTAATGACTTAGTTTCTTCAGTCCATAAATAATGGCCGCTAGTTCTCTTTCAATGGTGCTATAATTTCGCTCCGCTTTAGTAAACGTTTTGCTAAGATACAGTATAGGGTGTTCCTCCCCATCCTGAATTTGAGACAACACAATACCCGCACCATATAAGCTGGCATCTGTCTGCACAATAAATTCTTTAGAATAATCTGGTGCAAATAAAACCGGACTTTTTACTAGTTTGGTCTTCAGTTTATTCAAAGCCTCGTCGCACTCTTTTGTCCAAATCACTTTTTCTTTTTTGTTTTTGCCCTTCAAAGCGTCTGTCAAAGGTGCCGCAATACTGGCGTAGTCTTTTATGTACCTTGTATAGTAGCCCACAGTACCAAGGTAGCTACGTATCTGAGTTTTAGTAGTGGGGATCGGAAAATCTCTGATTGCTTGAATCTTGGCCTCACTAGGCGACCTTTTCCCAGACCCTACTTCTCATGACCCAGAAATTTCGCATGGTCTTGGTGCGAATTTGCATTTCGACGGGCTTAACAGTCAATTTAGCCTCCTGAAGGCGACCCCTAAAACCACATCCAAATCCTTCATATGCCTGTCCTCAAGTCGGCGAAAAAAGACTGCGATGTCGTCAATATTACGGTAGAACAAAATTGTCCAGCCCTCCTAAAACTTGAGCGATCAATTTACAAAAATAAGAAAGGTGCATTTAAAAGCCCAAACATCATTTTCTTCAGGATGAAAGATCCAAAAAGGCATCACAAATGCGGCATACCTCTGTGCACGCTCTGTGAGTGGTATCTGGAAGTATCCTTTGGTTAGATCTATGATTATGATAAATGGAGCTGCGCTGACTTTTTCTACCACTTCTTCAATATTGGGAAGAGGGAAAAATTCGGTCATAGTTTTTGAATTTAATTTTCTGTAGTCTATACAAGGACAAGGATCTTTGGTGCTACTTTGGTAGACGGTAGCACGGATTTTTGGCGATTTACGTTGGCGCAATTGTTGGCGCGATTTTTACAATCGTCAGCCATCTTGAAAAACGCTGTTTTTACGCATAGTAAAGTATTCGAAACTTAAGAAAAAAAAAATCGTTAAAAGTAAATGTAAAGTAAAAGTAAAGTAAATGGATTAATTTTTTGTTGAAAATGTCTTTTTTTTTAAGATGGCAGGCAAGTGTAAATAAATACATTTACTATGAGTATAAAGTACTAAAGTAAGGCTATTATTACTTTCATATAGCAAAAAAGAGAATAAAAACACCGCTATAAAAACATTGTGCCAACGTTTAATCAGATTAAAATATTACTGAAATTGAATATCGAATTAAAAAACCATCCTACCAACATTTAAAAGAATTAGAATATTATTAAATTCAAATACTTTAAAATACGTTATATAAAATATAATTAACATTAAAACATATGTGACAATAATTATCTCAGCAATTTTTGAAAATAGTGTATTAATTTTTTTAACAAAAATTGAAGTATACAATTATAAAATAAAAGAAAAATATGTACTTACATTTTTTTGAGTAATTTAACCTCTTGTTTATTGATAAGTACCACAAAAAAAAATCGAAATCATAATTGAATCGGATCTTTTAACCATCTTCATCTGTTATCCAAATATCTCGCACTTCATTGAAGAAGCAATTAGCGAGGTTTCCTCCAAAATTTCCTCTGACGCTATTAACAATTTATAAATAAATCTTTGATTAGGAAAGACAGGTTGGCCAAAATAAAGTCTCAAAGGGCAATTTTTTTATTCCAATACCAATAATTCTTGGTAATTACCAATAACAACATTCGTCTTCGAAACGGAGATATCCATTCCATTTGAAATCCGAGGAATTCGAAGAGATGAATAATAAAATTTTAAAATGGCGCGGTAATGCACAAATATTCAGTAACCAATCAGGGAGCTGATTACATCACGCATAGAATTAAAATTATTTAAATAATCATTCATAATAAAATCATTTTTAAAACAAATGCAAAATTAAATTTTATTTTAATATTTAACAGCCATAAATAATGTTTAAAACATTAGATTAAATTTATAGATATTAATAAAACCAATTACTTTTTAAGTAAGGTGACGTCATTGATTACATCATCCACAACATAAAATTATATAAAATATTATAAACAACAAAATTTTTATTTCAAATAAAAATGTAAAATTAATTAAATTGATTTTAATATTTAGAAGCCA